AACAAGATTTAATTTAAACTAACATATAAAAGAATATTTGTTAATAATTAATATTTAACCATAAGATATATAAATAAGATATTAATGTTGCAAATGGAATTTAGGAAAAACATGTATTTTATTTTTCGATTGACACATTAAGAAAATTTGTGTTGGACTATAATAGAAGCATCTGTAGGATCCATTGGCACGTGAAATAGGTTCTTCCTTAACGTTTATGGTTCCCTGTGGTTAACATAAACGATCGTTGATCCGCCCATTCCTGTTACACCCATTTCGTATACAAGATTTATTGCATAGTTCATACAATCCATTTTTCCTTCCTTTCCCTTTTTCTTTTTCTTATTTTTACATCATTTTTGTGTGTTAGCATTCTAATTGCAAGCCGAAGAGCTTTCATTTAAGATTGGGAGGGAGGGAGGGAGGGAGGGAGGAATCTTTTTTAGTTATGGGGGAAAAGAAACCCTAAACGAAAACAAGGGACTACTTTGTGTATGGAAAACAAACAAGGGAAAATGTAAGACACGGTCTTCCATCAAAGGATTTCTTACCCTTAGATATATCTTTTATCATGTTATCTGAACGGCCACAAAAATATTTTTCTTTCTTTTTTTTTTTTTAGGTGCCTTTCTATTTTCTTATTGGTCAAATCCAATCTCTTGRAAGAACAGAATCTAAAAAAAGAAAGAAAGAAAATTAAGTACGAGTTGTTTCATCTGTGTTGTTTTCATATTTGTAATAATCCAATCCATTGAGTAAAATATTTGTGATGAATTAATTGAAAAAAAAAAAGAATAATAAATAAAAAATACTTTGACTGTGTTAAATGTTAATGTTTATATAAAAGTGGTTATATAATTTCTAAGAAAAACAAAAAAAGAAAAATATTTATTTATATTAAATTATTAATTTATATATATGTATATAAAATATATTTTAAAATATATATATATATTTTATTTTAAATAACACAAAAAAATAAATATATAAAAAATATATTATATTGTAAATTAAAAATACATTATGAAAAAATATATATTATATTTTAAATTAAAAATAAATTATATAAAAAATATATTATATTTTAAATAAAAAATAAATTATAAAAAATATATTATATTTTAAATTAAAAATAAATTATACAAGAAGTATATTATACTTTAAATAAAAATTAAATTATAAAAGATAAATTATATTGTAAATAAAAAATAAATTATAAAAATATATATTATACTTTAAATAAAAAAATAAATTATATTGTAAATAAAAAATTAATTATAAGAAATATATATTATATTTTAAATTAAAAATAAATTATAAGAGAGAAATATATTATACTTTAAATAAAAAATAAATATATAAAAAATATATACTACATTTTAAATTGAAAATAAATTCTAAAAAATATAAATTATATTTTAAATAAAAAATATATTATAGTTTAGTATACTCGTGTTATACTAACACGAGGTTTATTATTCCACGTGTCATCCCAACATAACGAAAAAAAAAAAAGAAAAAAGAAATAAAAAGAAAGAAAAAAATCTTATTTCTCTTCATATACTACCCTCATCCAAATATCATATCACAATATATATATATATACAAAAAAAAAAAAAAGAAAAAAAATATAAGAAGGATAAAGAAAAAAAAAAAAAGAAAAATACAAATCATTCCATCCTCCTACACAAAATGATCCTAAGGACGACTTCCTAGGATCGGAGCTCGATCAAGTTTTGCTGTCAGGTCAAGGATAGGCAGGATGTGACGTCACAGGCTACCAGAAGATCGATATCCTCTTGCTAGCCTGTTCATTCGTTCCTACGTATGTGTATACATGTGTGTATATGTGTGAGTGGGTATTTGCCGTCACCCACGACAAACGCACTATCTTTTACTTTACTGGGCCTTTTACTTTACTATCAAGGCAAATTTTCTTTCTTTCTCTCTCTCTCTCTCTCTCTCTTTTTTCTTCTTTTTTTTTTTCTTTTCTTCATACGAAATCATTATACTCATTCTCTCTTATATTTCTTTTGAGAAAATCAGGTTCGAACACTCGACAAAGAGGTTCTTTTTCCTACCAATTTCAACCTAACATACAATGAGTTGGGTTATAGGGTTACTAATATATATATATTTATAATAATATATATTTTTGTAAATATATATTTGATATATTATATATACTTAATATATATTTTTTATAAATAATATTTATTATAATATAATATTA